ATTTTCTCAGTCCCTTTCTTTTCCTCTTCTTCTTCTGGGACCCCTGTAATTTGAATGTTGGTGTGTTTAATGTTGTGCCAGAGGTCTCTGAGACTGTCCTCAATTCTGTTCATTCTTTTTTCTGCTCTGTTCTTTCTTTATTCTATTTTATCTTCCAGGTCATTTATCTGTTCCTCTGTCTCAGTTATTCTGCTATTGATTCCTTCTAGAGAATTCTTAATTTCATTTATTGTGTTATTCATCATTGTTTGTTTGCTGTTTAGTTCTTCTAGGTCCTTGTTAAATGTTTCTTGTATTTTCTCCATTCTATTTCCAAGATTTTGGATCATCTTTACTATCATTACTCTGAATTCTTTTTCAGGTAGACGCCTATTTCCTCTTCATTTGTTTGGTCTCATGAATTTTTACCTTGCTCCTTCATCTGCTGTGTGTTTTTCTGTCTTCTCATTTTGCTTAACTTACTGTGTTTGGGTTCTCCTTTTTTCATTCTGTAGGTTCGTAGTTCCTGGTGTTTGCCCCCCAGTGGCTAAGGTTGGTTCAGTGGGCTGTATAGGCTTCCTGGTGGAGGGGACTAGTGCCTGTGTTCTGGTGGATGAGGCTGGATCTTGTCTTGCTGGTGGGCCAGACCACATCCTGTGGTGTGTTTTGGGGTGTCTGTGACCTTATTATAATTTTAGGCAGCCTGTCTGATAATGGGTGGGGTTGTGTTCCTGTCTTGCTAGTTGTTTGGCATAGGGTGTCCAGCACTGTAGTTTGCTGGTCGTTGAGTGGAGCTGGGTCTTAGCATTGAGATGGAGATCTCTGGGAGTGGTTTCACAGTTTGATGTTACGTGGAGCCAGGAGGTCTCTGGTGGACAAATGTTCTGAATTCGGCTCTGCCACCTCATAGACACATGCTTGACACCCAGCCGGAACACCAAGCCCCTGTGAGCCACATGGCTCAGAAGAAAAGGGAGAAAAAAAGAAAGAAAGAAAGAAAAAAAGAGAAATAAGTAAAATAAAGTTATTAAAATAAAAAATTATGAAAAATTATGAAAAATAAAGAAATTTTAAAATGTAAAAAAAGAATGAAAGAAAGAAGAGAGCCACCAAACCAAAAAACAAATCCACCAATGACAACAAGTGCTAAAAACTATACAAAAACAAACAAACAAAAAATAGACAGAGAGAACCCTAGAACAAATGGTAAAAGCAAAGCTATACAGACAAAATCACAGAAAGAAGCATACACATACACACTCAGCAAAAGAGAAAAAGAAAATATCTATATATATATAAAAAAAGGAAGAGAGCAACCAAATCAAACAAACCTACCAGTGATAATAAACTATAAATACTAAACTAAGATAAACATAAAACCAGAAACAAATTAGATGCAGAAGCAAACCTCAAGTCTACAGTTGCTCCCAAAGTCCACTGCCTCAATTTTGGAATGATTTGTTTTCTATTCAGGTATTCCACAGATGCAGGGTACATCAAGTTGATTGTGGAGATTTAATCTGCTGCTCCTGAGGCTGCTGGGAGAATTTTCCCTTTGTCTTCTTTGTTCGCAGAGCTCCTGGGGTTCAACTTTGGTTTTGGCCCTGCCTCTGTGTGTAGGTCACTGGAGGACATCTGTTCTTCGCCCGGACAGGAGAGGGTTAAAGTAGTGGCTGATTAGGGGGCTCTGGCTCACTCAGGCCGGGGGGCGGGGTACAGAATGCTGCGCGAGCCTGCTGCGGCAGAGGCCAGCATGATGTTGCAACAGCCTGAGGCATGCCATGTGTTCTCCCAGGGAAGTTGTCCCTGGATCATAGGACCCTGGCAGTGGTAGGCTGCACAGCCTCCCGGCAGGGGAGATGTGGATAGTGACCTGTGCTTGCACACGGGCTTCTTGATGTCTGTAGCAGCAGCCTTAGCATTTCATGTCCGTCTCTGGGTTCCGCGCTGATAGCCATGGCTTGCGCCTGTCTCTGGAGCTCGTTTAGGCAGTGCTCTGAATCCCCTCTCCTTGCACACCCTGAAACAATGGTCTCTTGCCTCTTAGGCAGGTCCAAAGTTTTTCCTGGACTCCCTCCTGGTTAGCCGAAGCTGGAGCCTCAGCTCCCAGCCCTCACCTCCCTGGCGGGTGAGCAGACAAGCCTCTCGGGCTGGTGAGTGCTGGTCGGCACCGATCCTCTGTGCTTTGCCCTCCGCACCCCTGTTGCTGCGCTCTCCTCCGTAGCACTGAAGCTCCCCGCCTCCGCCTCCCGCAGTCTCCGCCCGCTAGGGGGCTTCCTGGTGTGTGGAAACTTTCCCTCCTTCACAGCTCCCTCCCAGAGGTGTAGGTCCTGTCCCTATTCTGTTATCTCTGGGTTTTTTGTTTGTTTCTATGTTTGTTTTGCCCTACCCAGGTACGTGAGGAGTTTCTTGCCTTTTGGGAAGTCTGTCTTCTGCCAGCGCTCAGTAGGTGTTCTGTAGGAGTTGTTCCACATGTAGATGTATTTCTGATGTATTTGTGGGGAGGAAGGTGATCTCCACGTCTTAATCCTCCGCCATCTTGAAGGTCTCTCTGAGATTGTTTTAAATTAACTACAGTTAAATTTGATGCACAGTCAGGTTTGGGAGCCTCTGCTTGGGGTTTACACAAAAGTTTTCCAGATTCCCTTCCTAAAAAGTAACTATAATGATAATACGGAAACACTACCAAAACAATCTGAAAAATGCAAATAAAGAGAAAAATAAGTGTTTTACAGCTAATGATTACTTTCTGAATTACTTGACTCCCAGATATGTAGGATTTTTAATTGAATGATAAAACTGTAAAATCACTGAGGGGAGGAACTAGGTTATACCTTCTTTGTATACTGTGCCTCTTTTTTAAATCTCCCAAATGCTAGGGATATAAACTTAAAAAGGGGGAAGACACTATCATTTAGTTAGTATTATCCTTATTGCATACGTTCTCATATAATTCTTGCATAACAACTACTGCCATTTTCTAGATTTAAAGAAACACTGACATACAGATTGGTAAAGGTTACTAAAAAAACAACAAACATATTGAGCTTTTTTTGTGTATCAGACATAGGGCTAAGTTTTGAGGAAGCAAATTTAATGAGACAGGGTTCTGTCATAGATGGATTTTCATCCCAATAAGTGCACTACAATGTTAAAGGAGCCTTATTGAAATTTCTTACAGGGTACTGTGAGGCCACAAGGTTGAGTGGAAATTCTTTAGGGGAAGGGTATGAAATGGGAGAACATTTTGAAAATAACCTTTTGGCTGAAATATGAAGGTAGAGTTCACAATGCAGAAGACAGAGGAAGAACTCCTTGACAAAGTGGGAATCATGAGCAAAGACACAGAGATATAAAACAGTCTGGCAAGTTTGAGCACTTATAGGCTACAGTGGGGGAAATGAGGGACTTGGAATGCACGGCCAGAGCAAAGATCGTGAGTGAAGTGAAAATCCAAATCATGGAGATTGCTATTAGCTATGTGAAGTAGTCTGGATTGTAGTGTGTGAGCAATGATGAGCCACAGAAGGACCTTAAGTACAGGAATAAGAAGGAATATGTACCTGGCAGCTGTGGAGTGGACCAATTAAAGAAGGAGCAAGATGGAAAGGTCAGATAGTCTGAGGGAGGGACCATGAGGGCTTGAATGATGGAGATTCCATTGGTAAAGGAGAAAAGATGATGAACTGGAGAGAGAGAGAATTGTATTGATCTTATTATTTCATAGAGGGAAGAAGGTAGGAAAACTCTCAGTTCCCTATTTAGGTGACTGAATAGATAGTGGTGACACCAAGTTAGGAAATACTTGGTGATGGGGAGGAGCAGAGTCAGAGGAAAGGTGATGAGTTCAATTATGAAAACCTGAAGTTTAAGGATCCTATGGGACATCCAAGTGGATTTTGGAGAGAGCTGGAATATTGGGTGTTGAAAGTTGGAACGCAAGGTGTTTGTAAGTCAGTGGGAAGTAAGGAAGTGAGCAGGAAGTAAAAGGATGGAGAGAAAAAATGGTACCAGGAGAGAAATGTTGAGATGCAGGTGGCTTAAAGATAGTGGCAATTGCTTGAAATGGCAAATTTGAGAAGTAGGAGGGAAGCCAACAGCAGGTAAATAGATGATTGCTGAGGAGCACTAAAAGTCCACTGAGGTCAAAGACTTGTTTTGAGATAGAAACTCTGAATTATCTCTATGATTTTCCCCAGCAGTGCTCTGCAGTGATTGTGGGATTGAGCCAAGGTTATGGGGTTACAAGGCAGTCTGGGGAGGAGGGCACATAAATGTAAATCTGCATTTAAAATATTTTAATCAAATTATTAAAGATTTTAACAAGTAGTTTACTGTTATCTATATCATTTTATTGACAATTTCAGGTGGTTGAATTCTGTACAGAAAAAAACCACAATAAAGAAGCCCCAAACGAGCAAAACAAAAAATGCAATCTCCGAAGCACATGGGAAGTGATCCAAGGTTCGGAGGACTTTAAGAAAACAACTCCTATGACAACACAGCCACCCAAGCCCACCTTCTCACTGTTGCAGATCAGACAAAGAATTGTGTGTTTAGTCCTTGATAAGTCTGGAAGCATGACGGTACGTTGATTGAGTCTTGGTCTTCTGGATGGTAGTCTCACATTTGTATATGATATGATCTGGACCACAACTTGGAGCTGGCTGGGAATAAACACAACCCCAAGGGTCAGAACAGTTACAGGAATAACATTTCCATCAGAATTGCCCACCACCTCAACTTTACTCAACAAAAATTCAGCATCAAGTGTCTCATTTGCCAAATTAAATTAGCCTTCAATTTGTGAGCAAAGATCTGATGAATTATATAGAATTAACATTATTTACGTTTCACTGACTGTATGTATGTTTATAGAACTATTACTAGAGTATTGAACTAATGATTGAACTAAAGCCAAATCCGGCTTTATCTTTTAGGGCTATTTATACAAAATAATCCTATCCAAAGATACTACTAAATATAAAGGAGAAATTTTCCTCCATAGAAGGATATGCCTTGAGTAAGCTTATTGTCATTTACTCTACATTGAGGCAGCCATTTCCAAATTCCCTCTAGCCTGTTCTGTTTTTAGTCTGCCCATCTAAACCCAACCTGACTACTTTTCTTCTGCTTCTCCATTCAGATTGGTGACCGCCTTAAACGACTGAATCAAGCAGGCAAACTTTTCCTTCTGCAGACGGTTGAGCAAGGGTCCTGGGTTGGGATGGTGACATTTGACAGTGCTGCCTATGTAAAAAGTGAACTTGTACAGATAAACAGTGCCACTGAAAGAGACACACTTACCAGAAGCTTACCCACAGAGGCATCAGGAGGAACGTCCATCTGCTCTGGGATTCAATCAGCATTTACTGTGAGACAAGTTGCCCTATCATAGTTTGCCAATGTTTACAATTTACGTCTCCTGAGAAATTCCCCTTTCCAGTGTTTCCATGCATGCCTAGTGTCTAGTTGAATTAGACAACCAATAGCAGAGCAATGGTTCAAATGATGCAACAACATAGGCCCCCAAGGCTATTGTTAACTAATTCATTCATGCTTTTGTGTTTTTCTGCATCTGTGCATTCATGCTTTTCTGTGTGCATTTGAAACATTCGTGGTGTTACTTCTGCATGCCGGGCACTGTGATACGCATTAAGAATACCACGAGGGCCAAACATACCACACCTGTTGTCGTGGAGCTTATAATCTTAGTGGGGGGAGATTCATTAACTACATAGTCACATAAATAAGTGTATAATCATACACTAATGACTGCTATGAAGAAAGGTACACAGGGATCTAAGAGGTTATCTTCTATGAAGAAAAAAGTGAACTCTGAGTTATGGTTAAATATTGAGGTAGATTAACATTCCAAACTTCTGGGTATATAGGACCTCCTTTTTGGGAAAAAAAAAAAGGTTTATGTATTGAAATAGGAGGGCTTAGAAACTATAACTCTAATTGTATTGGGGGTGTATCCAAAGATCCCATCTGATCATCCAATCATGTCATCCCTCTACTTAGACATCAATCTCTCCCCATTTTCAACAAAACTAAGTAAAATTTCTCTAACTAATATTTAAGTTCTTTTATAATATAGCCCCTACCTACCTTTCCAGGCTCAAGTACTCAGGAGTCTCTCCCAGGTATTCTATGTTTAAGCAAATTAGATCCCCTGCCCTTGCCAGCCAGCTTCCACACCTTTGCCGGGCCAGCTCCCCATCTAGAGTAATTTCTCCTCCCTCCTTTGTACCTCAAATCACACTCATTCTTCACACATCATCATAGACACTACTACTTCTTGACATCTTTCCTGATTGTTTCAACTGTATAGAGTTTCTCCTTCTGAATCCTATGAACATTTTTCTATTTTTTCTTAAACATCTCTTAGGACTTTTGACTCTTCTGTCTTATTTCCTGTCATGTTCTTTGCTCAAACAAAACTTCTTCAGAGATAGGAATTATCTTTTAACTTCCCAGGCTGCTGGCACAATATCTTTTCTCTAGGAGGTTCTCAATAAAAAAAATTAAATTGAGTTATTTGATTACACCTGATGCTTAAATGCTCCAAATATAGAATAGAATATTCTATATTTATTTAGAGGCTATTTAGGTCCATGAAATAAAGAATAAGAGGCTGAAGGAAGCTGGCTGGTCTAAGGTCTCAGAATCTAGGCAGTGTCTTGGGAAAGTCTGCCCTCTGTCCGCTTGGGGCATAACACATCAATGGGGCTGTTCCCGATTTCCAAGCAGCAGCAGGAACATTTAGTTTTCAGCTCACACTGTTTCATGTTGACAGCGGACTCAATCATTCCCTTACGCAGTCTGTCCCTCTGGCCCTTTTATTCCACTTTGAAGGTCAGTTCCCTAAAAGTGGTTTTTATCGTGTACGCAATCAGCTGCAAAACCCTTCTCCAGACGCCTGTGTGCACTTGGGTTCTCTTGCTTCTGCCACTCACCCATGCTTTGATTAAAGGAGCAAGTAAGGGAGGGAAACTGACATGTTGTACTAAGCTCCTGCTATACAAAACCTGAGGGGAAATGACTAATGCCAGATGGCCTGGTGGTGAAGAGGAAACTTCTGGTTCTGTATTTTCCACTCCAATGGTGTGAGAGAGTATGTGAGGAACACAACTGGAATTTAGATGCTCCTCAGGCCCAGCAGAGCCCGGGTATGGGGTGGGAGGAGCTTGTGTGTGGCTTCAGGGTGACGAGGTAAAGGGCCTTGGACCCCGCACTGTCTCAATTTCCCCGCTAGTCCCTGGGGCAGGACCCTGGTCAGGTCTGGCAGTGGTATCGGTTGAGCTGTGGCCACTGGGCTTTGCTTGTTTTCTTAGCTTGATCACGGCCCATTGGTCTTCCCCAGCTGACTCACCACACTGGCTCTCACTGTTGGAGCAGATCCCTGAGCACCCCCATGTCCTGCATCCAGCCCTTGGGAGGCTGTACACCCCTCAGCCTCTATGGCAAGATAAACTGTCTTCTTGCCTGCCAACTCTCAAGTCAGCTGCCATCCATTTCCCCTATGGATACATGGAGACTTCTGCATGTTTTCCATGACACATAGCAGTGATGGGGAATGGGACAAAGGAATCCAAATTGAGCCCTTTCTCTGGCCTCTCAGGCCCTGCAGCTTGGTCAGACTGAGGCTACAACCACAGCTGACAGGCTCCTGGGCTCCAGAATTCTTCACACGGCAGCAATCACAGTTCTGCTCTCTTCCCTTGTGGGGCAGCCCCCTCTTAAAAGAAGTGGGGTGGAAGTCTCCTCTGATCTCAGCTTCCCTTTCAACCTACTTAAGAGAGCCTTCCCTTCCCGAGAGTCTGGTCCAGAGAGAGGAGTTACTTAGGTTTGATTACTTGTTTCCTCTACTTCTGGGTCTCCCTTCCACTCTTTTTAAGGGAAGAGTGAACTCTTGCCTTCCTCTTCATAAACATTATTATTTTATCTAATTTTCCTTCTATCATAATCTTATCCAACATTGGCATAAGGCGTATGCTCTCTATACCACGTAAAAAGCTATAACCTGTGTCTCCCAGGAATAGTTGAGACATAGGTGTCATAGGACAACTAGGAACTGGGGATTAATAGGAACAAAATGTTTTGCTTTAATCAGAGGAGATATTAAAATTTTTAATAACTCATGTGACCTGGGGACTGACCAATCAGAACCAAGGCCAGCCATAAACAGCTTATGATAAGACTGGTGAATATCATACAAGCTAAAATCTGCCCCAAGTCTAATATTATTATAGCAATATATTAGTCCTCAGTATTATCCCCATTAAATGAGGGTAATTTCTGAAGGCATCTGGGAACCTCTGAAAGCCTGTCAAGGAGAGATCATGTGAAAGAAACTAGAAAAACCTTCTTTTCTGCTTAGTGCTGTCCACCCCTGGAACTGCCCTGCATCCCACCTTATTGAGTCTTCTCTGCAACAGGCTAACCAAGAGAAAAGACCATTGTCAAGTTCCATGGTCTTGTATCATTGCGAGACAGAGAGATATTTGACCATTCCTAGACACTTTTGTTTATTCCCTCTGGAATTTCTCTTCTCATTCCCTTTAACTGCAATTTTCCCAAACACTTTGGCTACCCTGAGTATAACAACTCATGCCTGAATTATGTCCTTAGGTGATTAGGAAGAAATACCCAACAGATGGATCTGAAATTGTGTTACTGACTGATGGGGAGGACAACACTATAAGCTCATGCTTTAATGAAGTGAAACAAAGTGGAGTCGTCATCCATACAGTCGCCCTAGGGCCATCTGCAGCACGGGAACTAGAGGAGCTGTCTAAAACGACAGGTGAAGGATGACCTTCTAAGTCCTACTGTATTTTCTCTTCCACTGGACTGTGAGCTCCAGTGCTCTGGGGAGTAGGGGAAGGGTGGGATAGGGACAGATGGGGTTATCTTATTGACTAACTAGCTGCCCTTACCCCAAATGACTTTTAGAACTGACTCCACTCATTTATTTTAAAGCCTTGGTTCTAGGATTAGGGCAGTCTGGAGAAGATGGGACCAGCACAGCACTCTAGGGAGAACTTGGGACTCTCTTCCCAGACACTTTATAAGGACTTGAAAGAATCTAATCAGTTAGCCAGGAACCACTCACTTCCAGTTGGCAGCTGGACAAGAGACCCAGGGGACACAGACGACAAGCCACTAACTATATAATACTATGATACAAGTGCTCTATTAGTAACAGAGGGTACAATGAGTACAAAGAAGGGAGCCTAGACTTTATCTGGGGAAGAAGGAGTGTACAGGAAGGTGACATCTGAATTGGGGCTTGAACAAGAAATAGCAGGGGAAGGGCAAAGGGCCTGCTGAACCAAACAGAAGGTCACTCTGAAAATATAGAATATAATGCAGTTTCTCTGTAAAACATTCATATATTGTGCTTCTACATTCCATACACATACAGTTAAAATATATCCCATCTGAACCTGGCTTCTTCAGCAGAGTAGGTTTTAATATTTTTTAAATTTTTTTAATTTAGAGCCAGCATTATGGATATCAATTATTATGCTGAGTTGCCATCTAAGCCAGATAAAATGACAGGACTCTTTGCTCCTAATACTACCTGTCTTAGGCTGGGTTTCCTAGAAGCAGAGCCTGAGAAAAGGATTTAAGTGCATGTGATTTATAGAGGGAGAGCTCTCTGAAGAAAGGGAGAGTAGGGAGTAAGATCAGGCAGGGGAAGAAGCTAAGCACAGATGTGAAATTAGAGGCTAGCTGAAGCCTGGTGCCACAGGGGGTTCTGGATCTGGAATTGCATAACAGATTTGGTACAGTATTGAAAGAGAAGGCTGACCTTTTGTACCACTGTGTCCATCAGTCAGTGGTTATAGACTGTCAGGGCAGAGCAGGGGTAAGGGGGCATGTTATGTCTTTAGCTAGGGTGGCCCCATTAGGTAAAGACATTTTCTTGAATAGGAGGCAGCTATATGCCATTAATCTAACACTTAGAGCAGCTGGGGAGAGATGCAGTAGCCTAGATAAGGGGATCTGGGTGAAGTACCAGTAGGATGACCAAAATACTCTCCTTAGCTTTTGGATGTCATTAACAGTTTAAAAGTGCTTTCTCATTAACTATCTCAGTTACACCTATTCTAAATAGCTCAAGACTACATGGCCTGGTATATCATCTCCTGTTTACCACACATAATACTTTTCTATAACTGTCCCCTGTCAGTTGTTATTTCTTACTGTTGTAACATACACATCTTTTCTGACTTAGGAGAAAACTTGAAAGTCAAGCTTGCTAAGATTATGTCTAAAATAAGAATAAATCAATACACTTGCAGTAAGGCTTAATGACTCATATGAAAGTGCATGACCTTTAAAACACGAGATTTATATTACTAGTTTTGGTCTGTTGGAGATTCTTGACTGCTTTGCAGAGAGCTGAAGTGGCCAAATGACTATGTTGCTGAAGCTATTATTTAATAGGATTAAAAAGTTAGTATCAGCTTCTGAGTTAATCTGGACACCTATTTAATGTTAATCTATTAGTACGTTAATAGCACAGTATATAATATGTATTTTGTTATCTTAACAATATCTAAAATGTTGCAAATACTTGCTTTCTAGAAAATAACTTCTGATAATATAATTGCATTTTAGGAGGTTTACAGACATATGCTTCAGATCAGGTTCAGAACAATGGCCTCATGGATGCTTTTGGGGCCCTTTCATCAGGAAACGGAGCTGTCTCCCAGCGTTCCATCCAGGTCAGAGTTCTTCCTCCTTGGTTTTTCATCTTTATAAATAACCATAGCCAAGATGGGGAGTTTAATGGTTAAAAGTTTTAAGTTCTACATTCTTCTAGTAATGAATTAAAATTAAAATAGACATTTCAGCCTGATATTAGACATTATTCCTAAAATACAACACTATTCATTTAAACAAGGCAATTAGTGTTTCTTGTTTGGAAACAATACTAAGTGAGTTCCTCTTAGAAACCATCAACATAAAATATAGTGGGTCCAGGAATTCTTTTTTAACATCTGTTAACAAGCACCCATAGCAATATAATTGGCTCAGAATTTTCTTCAGAATATATCATCTCAGTATAAATTTTCTGGGACAACTGTTCAGGGATTACTTGGTCTATTTTCCCATTACCTCAAATCCCTGATATTTGCCAAGATTTTCATATAATGGATGGAAAGTGATTTGTACTGTGAAAAGCCCATGTTGTCAGTCCAGACACCTGGATACTGTTCATGGGTCTGCCATTAACTGTGACCACAGGCAAAGAACTTTACTTCTCTGAGCTTCAGCGTCTCAGCCAGAGATGAACCAGAAAACTTCTACTGGCCCTTCTGCTTCTAAAATTTCAAGAAAACCAAATTTTCTTTCAAAAGTCTTGGGACAATAAAAAAAGGACAAATATATATTTTAAATGCTCTTCTCTAATAGTTGTAAAAGTTATTCACATGAATCTTTAAACTAGAGAGAGTGAACAATCAGCACCACACTTGTGTGAGTTGTAACTTTTATTGTGAATAAAAGTAAAGGAATAATGTAGTGTCAAAGCCAAATAATGACCTAATATATAGCACAGGGAACTCTACTCAGTACTCTTTAATGGCCTATATGGGAAAAGAATCTAAAAAAGAGTGGATATATGTATAACTGATTCACTTTGCTGTACACCTGAAACTAACACAACATTGTAAATCAACTATACTCCAATAAAAAAAATTAAAAAGACAAATAATGACAGATTTCAAAATAATAGCCTTTCTAGTCTATCGATGTAGCATTTATTCAGTCAAAGAAGACAGCAATTATACTCATTTGGGTTATCCTAGTTCAGATTTAGAATATTAAACCCAAGAGCCTTGGACGTGGGAGGAATGTGTCTTAGAAAAATAATTAAAGTGATGAAAGGGCAAGTTTACAGCCAAGCAGTTTCTGCCCATTATTTTTATATTTAAGAAACCAAAAAGGGAGAAAGATAGAGACATGAGCAGGACTCATTTACCCACCTGCCATAAGAATCATATCTAAGGGCCCCTAGCTTTCTTCACATCCCAGATCATAATCTACATACAAAACTAGAAAGTCTGGCTCCATTACCAGGCCACCCTATCTTCTAATGGATATCAATTTAAGGACCATAAATAATTATCTAGAAGATAATCCTCAAAAATCACATTTCTGCAAAGTCTGGTTAGCCCTACCCTACCTCAACCCCTGCTCCACAGCTCCTTCATTCTACTTCAGACAACGAATCAGCCTCGGCCATTGATTTATTTCATTTATCTTCACAAGGACTGCAGTAATAATTGACCCACAAATTAGTTAATTGCAATTCAAACAATCCATATGTGGGCGAAAATAAGTCCTAGTTAGTCTCCTTAAGGGTTTATAGTCTAGTAGTGAGATAAGCTGTGTACACCAGTAGGTATAAAGCAAAACACAATGTGAGGAGATCAAAGGATTGATAGAAACAAGATTCTATGGGAGATCAAGGGAGGGAGAGATTATTCTCCACAGTAAGTGAGATGGACATCAGAGAAAGCTTCATGGAGAAAGTGACTTTTGAATTGAATTTTGAAGGGTAGGTAAGGCTTAGACAAATGGAAATGAATGTACAGACTTCCAGGAAAAGCAGAGATTATGATAATCAGAGAGTCAGGGATTCATGAGGATCATATGGGGAAGTGGTCTGGTTTGGGTGTAGGAATCAACATTATGGAAGCTAAGGCTGGAAAAGTAATTTAGAATAGGATCATAATAGGTCCTAAATATCAAACCAGGGACTCAGGCATCACTGAAGGCTTTTTAATGGGATAACTGAGAGTTGGAGACAGAATGGAAGAGACTATGTGATGGGAGCTGTATTCTCCAGAAAGTAAAGAGTTGTTTTTCTTAACAGCTTGAGAGCAGGGGATTAACCCTCCAGAACAGTCAGTGGTTGAATGGCACGGTGATTGTGGACAGTACTGTGGGGAAAGACACTTTGTTTCTCATCACCTGGACAACTGACACTCCCCAAATCCTTCTCTGGGATCCCAGTGGAAAGAAACAAGATGGCTTTTTAGTGGACACACACATCAAAATGGCCTACCTCCAAATCCCAGGCATTGCCAAGGTATGGACTCATCTTTTTTCCTTCTCACAATCTGATAAGATAATATAAAATTTTTACAGAATAATTGTAGCTTTTTAAATGAGGGTGGTTGCTAAAAAAAGAGCCAGTATTGAATGAAAGAGAAAACAAACTGGATTTTCCATCCAGTGGAAATCACTCAGTATGACAGCAAGTCAAGACAAAGGAAGTTGGTGATATTTTCTCCAGGTGCTAAAAGGAGAACCTTCAAATTACACAGCAGCTAGAGCTTTGGCATCATGAAAACTATTTCCTCTACCTCAGGAATCTGTCGATTTGATCCTGCTCTTGAGAAACCAAGGCTATAATAAGGACACAACTTTCAGACCTCATTTTTTCCAACTAGGATTTTCTTGGCAATAGAACCATGTAGTTAGTCCAAACATACCAAAGTTTCCCTTGGCTGAGAGAGTATCAAAAATCTTCTTAGATATACTTGTAATGTACTTGTATTAGATGGGCTCTTCCTATAGGTGGCATTGAAGTCAGGTCTGTGTCACTTAAAGCTATTAAGTGGAAATGTCTCCATTTTTTTTGGCTAGGTCGGCATTTGGAAATACAGCCTACAAGCAAGGTCACAAACCCTGACTTTGACTGTCACCTCCCGTGCATCAAGTGGTACCTTGCCTCCAGTTACAGTGACCTCTAAAATGAACAAAGATACAGGCAAATTCCCTAGTCCTATGGTAGTTTATGCAAAGATTCACCAAGGAAGCTTGCCAATTCTCAGGGCCAAGGTCACAGCCCTGATAGAATCAGTGGATGGAAAAACAGTTACTTTGGAATTATTGGACAACGGAGCAGGTAACCATCCAAGAAATTGAAGAACATATCTTTCTTTTCCAAGAAGCAACCAGGGAACAGCAGGAGGGCATGTTGTGGTGAGGACAGTTAGAAGCAGGAAGTCCAGCACTGGGATTCTGGTTGGGGGAGCTTTCTGCCACCCCACAATTACTATATTTCAAATTGTTGGAAAACATGAGGAAGGGACTACCTTTAGCTTTTGTAAAGCCCCGAAGTCTCAGACTCTAGGGAGTTGTCAGTGGGTATTCCACACCCCACAAAAAGTGACGAAGGAAAATTAATAGATATTTTGTGTGAGGAGTTTGTGTGAAGATTAGACAGATGGATAGATAGATAGGTAGATAGATAGATCTTCATTTTTTATCTTCACCACCCACTTTGGAGATATTATCCCTACATTACAGATGAAGAAACAGGCTTTCACAATTAAAAAGCAGCAGAGTTGGATTAAAGTATAGTTATATGTGACCCCCATATCTATGTAGATTCTATATTATCCTGCACCCAAAGGGAAAATTCTACCTATTATTTTTATATTTAAGAAGTCAAACAGGGAGAGAAAAAGAAAATGCTACATTTATTTTTAGAAGGAACTTGACTACTGTGAAACAGGTAACCTTATTAAAACAAATTCTGTAAATGAATTTCCCACCTAAATCTACCCTAGCGAAAATCCATAAATTAAAAAAAAATCATATAACTTTTTTTTTCTCACCAGTAACATATAGTAATTGAATTCAGTTCAACAGATACGTACTGAGTAGTTACCTAGTGCTATGTTGGTTGTAACAGAGGCACATGATTGATCTCTGAGTTCAAAAACAAGACAACAATTCAGGAAGACAAGATGTACACATATGAAATTACACACACACAAGGAAAAGAAGTATACCTCATTCTTAACATAGTCAAATCCTAAACTCTCTTGGAGATAACACTGGATTATCTTTACTTTAAAAAAATTTAATCCACGTATGAGTTGGAAATATACAAATGCCCAGTTACCTTTAGGATATTCATTAATTCCTTCATTTCCCTGTCAAGGTGCCGATGTTACTAAGGATGATGGTATCTATTCAAGGTATTTTACAGCTTATGATACAAATGGTAGATACAGTGTAAAAGTGTGGGCTCTGGGAGGTGTCGATACAGCCACGCAGAAGGTGATACCCCAGCAGACTGGAGCCATGTACATACCTGGCTGGATCGAGAATGGTAAGTCATCTATAATAACATCCTTGGCTTGAGTAAAAGGCTTGGAATCAAGTGAAAACCACTAAACCTGTGGAGAGAATGGTACAAAATTAAATCAGGGTTTCTCAACCTTGGTAACTATTGACATTTTGGCCACATAATTCTTTGTTGTGAAGGGCAGTCCTGTGCATTGTAGGATGTTTAGCAGCATTTCCGGCCTCTATTCACTAGATATCAGAAGTGGCCCCCACAGTCATGACAATTAAAAATGTCTCCAGACATCATTCACTGTCCTCTAGGTAATAACATAGCCCCCAGTTGAAAACCACTAGACTGAACATAGATTTTGACCGCCCTGGTCATCTCTTGTGCTTCATCTGCCTCACTTGTAAAATAGGTAATAATGGTAACTACCTCATGGGATGGTTATGAGGAATAAACAAGAAAATACATCTAATAAGCTATTGCTGGTAAATAAGAAGTGTTCAATAAATGTTTGTTATTATTTTAAATAAATCTTAACACATTTCATAATAAAGCTCTTTCTACTGATATAGGCATTTCCACAGAATCAAAAAATAACAATTTGGGGCTTGTTATCTGCATCAGTATCACCATAAGCCCACTGTCTCCTTTTCCTCCTCTCTTCTGCTCAGACTAGGGAGAATAGTAGACAAACCTAATAACAGATAGCATACTGAGCCCAAGTGTAAGCAAGTGGAAAAATTACACTCCAAGGAACAAACAGTCCCACACCAATCTTAGTTACAAACACTTGTCCTGGACTAGAGCTGGAATCAGGTCCAAGACTGAGTCCTGATAGGTTCCAGGACTTGTTTTCCATCAATCTCCATTCTGTCCTGGACAGGTCTTGTCCTAGTGCTGGTGTGTAGTAAGAAAAGCTCTTCTAAGAAGCTTCACACTGTCCTCTTTACTTGAGTGTGTGATCAGTAAAGGGAGAATTCTGAGACATGTGGTGTTTCTTCATGCAAAAGTGATAATAGGAAAAAATGCTTTAAAAGACACCATTGCTTCCAAAGCTCTTTTACATATTTCAGCCTATTTTATTCTCATTTGCCCTTTTTGTTGAGTTAGGGAGAGAAGTCAGGAGAAGACTAGTATAGTTGTTATATCTAGCATTATGCTCAGTGTTACACTGACATTAATATAGCTCATTCTCCTAATTATCCCATTTTACAGATGGAGAAACAGAGGCTAGAGAGGTTATTGGTCCACATTACTAACAGTGATAGCACCTGACTTGGCACTGGGAAGCTATGTTCTTCCCCCTATACCTTGATGAGCCTTGATACCAAGAGAGACAGTCTCTACTGGTGAATTGAATTAATCTTAAACCTGCTAAAGTATTCATTTCATCTTTGCCCAAGACCAGATTAATGGGTATAAAGATCAATCTGTCTTTACAGACAAAAGATTATAAGGGCTAAAGAAGAAGAGTTTATGAGAAAGTAAAACCAGAGTAATGCCATGTTAAGGTATTCCAGAATATTTTTATTGAAAAGAGAGTCTGAGAAGCCCACTGATTGAGCAGGCCAGGGTATTTTTAGAATTTCAGGATGACTTTTATACAAACTTTCAACAAGAATGTGAAGCAAATTGGGATTGCTACATGAATTAGATTTCCATGCATTCATTGAGAAAATCAAGTCTTTCAAAAGCACACAATTTTAGAACCCCTAACATAAAACATTTTGTGAGAAACTACAATCTAATAAGAAAGACAAAACACAACCATGGAGAAAAAAGAGAAAAATGCACAGAATTATTAATCAAGGCAATTCTTGAAGGCCCAGATAATTGATTAATAAATAAATAGGAAAGACAATGAAACCCCCAGTATTACCCAGGTGGAAGAGATTGCTTGAGAAAGTCTGAGAAGGTTTAAAGCAGAGGTAGTATTTAAACTGACCTTGTGTCAGGTTAAGAGTAGGATAGCAAAAAGTTGGGAAAAGAAACAATTCCAGGACAAGTATATTTACAAAAAATAAATTATGAAAGCCATTCCACTAAATATCCAGGAAATAAATATATGTGAGATAAAGAACTGTGATTCTCTCTTTGCTTTTTTTCCATCTGATGCAACCTGATTTGGGAGCTTTACAACAAATGGTTAAAGTAAGTTTTGTGTGTGGGAGGAAAGAAGGAAAGAGTAGAAAGAGGGTAATACAATAAAAAACAGAGGGAAGTATAGCCATTTCATGGTGTTGTTTACCTTGCACTGAGGAATTTTTTAATGCAGGTCAAGTAAAATGGAATCCACCAAGACCTGAAATTAATAAGGATGATCTTCAAGGCAAGCAAGTGTGTTTCAGCAGAACGTCCTCGGGAGGTTCATTTGTGGCCTCCGATGTTCCAAAGGCTCCCATACCTGATCTCTTTCCGCCTTGTAAAATCACTGACCTGAAGGCAAAAATCCAAGGGGACAGTCTCATTAATCTGACTTGGACTGCTCCTGGGGATGATTATGATCACGGAAGAGGTAAGCTGAGTGTGGTGTGGGCCCTGTAAAAGAGTTTAGCAGCCAAGCAGAGGGGCAGAGGGCTTGAGGCAGGCAGGCATGTTGTGATGCATGTGGAGGGATCTTGAACATCCTCTGAAATGAAAGCTTAAGGTTTTTAAACATGAGAAGTTTAGAATCTGAAAACCTGGCCCAAAGGGCGGTAAGATGTTTCAACCAGGAACAGGCAATCCTCAGTTTTTTTCTGAAATCTTGCCAAGCCGTTTGCTTGCCAACCTTGCCAATCTTGCCAATCTTGCTTGCTGCTTTAATAAACCTCATTTTTAGTAATGACTCCTGGAAAGAATGGGGAAAAGATCATAGATATCTATGGAGCAGAGCTGTCCTTTGGAAGAAATCTCAGGTTCTACCAGATTTTTCCTCTCAAAGTATGGTCTGTGGACTACAGCATGGGCATCAGATGAATGCGTGTTAGAAATGTGGAACCTTAGGCCCCACCCCAGACCTACTGAAACAGAATCTGCATTTTAAGATCCCTGGATGATGTGTACATACGGTCAAGTTTGAGAAGCACAAATAATAAAATAATAAGTGGTAATTAACCTCCTCTCTCAGTCAGGTACTATGGCCAGAAATACTGACCTAGGCTTTATTTAAGTCAAGCCTGATCCAGTTTTACATTTATCACTCTGTCGGGATATAAAAATAAGAGTGTAAAAGAAGATACTAATGCTTATAAATATGGACCGTCAATTACATTTATTTATTGGTATTTTATGGGATGGTGATATTGTTTCTAACAGACTTTTAAAAACTTCTTTAAGACTTGAGAATTACAAGTCACATCCTTTTTCTCTCTTTCTTTCTTTTTTAAGCTCACAAGTACATCATTCGAATAAGCACAAATATTCTTGATCTCAGAGACAAGTTCAATGATTCACTTGAAGTGAACACCACTGACCTCATCCCAAAGGAGGCCAACTCAGAGGAAGTCTTTGTGTTTAAACCAGAAAACATCACTTTTAAAAATGGCACAGATCTCTTCATTGCTGTACAGGCTGTTGATAAGGTCAACCTGAAGTCAGAAATCTCTAACATTGCACAAGTATCTTTGTTTATTCCCCCAGAGACTTCTCCAGAGACACCTAGTCCTTCTCTTCCTTGTCCTGATATTAATATCAACAGCACCATTCCTGGCATTCACATTTTAAAAATTATGTGGAAGTGGCTAGGGGAATTACAGCTATCAGTAGCCTTGGGCTGAGTTTTCCCCGAAATAAACAAATCATCCATCTTTTTTATGATTATAAAAATTTATAAAATGTATTTTAGACTTCCTGTACGAGGCAATTTAATGAAATAAAATGCTAAACAACCAGATACATATGTTTAAAAACTACTTAGTCAAATCCAAAAGTTTAATTATTGCTCATTTATTAATGATTTTGAGTAGTAGAAAGTAGGGGTGCTTGCATCAATAAATGGAAGTATGTTTTAATTTGATTTAAGGAGCTCTGCCAGTTATAAAAGAACATGTAATTCTATGTGAAAGATGCCAGAAAGGCCCAACCAGGTCAAACTATTTAAATATAAAAGGCATGGCTTGTTATAGAGAAGATTTGGACCAACATCACCAGAATTATGTTTTCTTTTCACTAGATTTGGGCAAGGATGATGCATTTAAGAAAGAGATTGCATTGTAGAAAGAAATAACAGCATGGTAAGGGCTCCATAGGCATAGAAATGTATGTAATATGCATGCAATTACAAGAGTTGATGATCCCTAAAGCCACAGTGGTGGGACTTGAAGTGGGAAAGTAGGTTCAGGCCAGGTGTGAAGGAAAGTGATTGAGAAATAAACATTTATTTTGTACTTTGTGCCAAGTGCTCTACTAATGCCTTATATGCATTACTTTATGTAATGCAATTCGGTTCGTTCAATAAATGTTCATTAGATGACTACTATATTCCAGGCTTACACTAGACCCTGAGTACAAAAAGATGAGCAAGATTTGGCCTTTTTCTTATAGGCAATAAAGAACATTTGAGGATAAATCAGTGCTATGCTTGAGAAGTATCAGGAGGAGGGAGGTTTTGAGAACTACATGAAGGACTAAATAAAGGTGGAAGAGGCTATGGTCATGACAGATGAAAGGGGAAGGAGAAGAAAAAGGAAAAAGGACAAATAGACTTAGCAGTATGGCAGTTCCCATCAAGGACTAATCACACATTCCAGTGCCTCCATGGCCAAGTACTCTTGTGAAAGTTGTTTCAAGTTCTCAGTTCATTAGCACAATTAGTTTAAAGTGTGGGTAACTCTCTGATTGAATACAAAATATCTAGAAGACTGTTTCTACATAGACTCCAAATTTATTTCTCTATTTATAGATTTTCCTTAAAGGAAGATTCAAAGATTTCAAAATAGGATTTGAGGCATCTTAGAGATACATACAATAAACATGTTTAAAAACTAAGAAAATAAAGAAATGAAGCAAATATATAATAAAAACTAGAGGAAGCTTCAGCATATCCAAGGCCAAATATAATGTCCTGCTCAATTGCTATCAGCAGGTCACACATCAAAGATTTACAGAGTCTTCGGCTTCCCTGGTGGCGCAGTGGTTGAGAGTCCGCCTGCCGATGCAGGGGACACGGGGTCGTGCCCCGGTCCGGGAAGACCCCACATGCCGTGGAGCGCCTGGGCCCGTGAGCCATGGCCGCTGAGCCTGCGTGTCCGGAGCCTGTGCTCCGCAACGGGAGAGGCCACAACAGTGAGAGGCCCGCGTACCGAAAAAAAAAAAAAGATTTAGAGAGTCCAAAGTGAAAAACAAACCATAGGGTCAGGAGGAGCATGGCTTTTTCTAGTTGAGACCCATGTGAAGTTTCATCTACAGATCCTCAATAAATTAGGGTACTGTGGTGTTAAGGACAGTAGCCTCAGGAACACCCATATAATAATCAAAACAAGTTTAATATAGCACTGATCACATCTTTCACTGTAATCACACTTCACTGTGGTGTTACAATACACTCTGGCATTGTTCAGGAAAGACTATTATACAGGGGCCCAAACAATACAAAACTAGGAAATAGCTCTTGAGTTTGCTCCAAAGACAAAATTTGAAATGAATGGATATTATGTCCTTTAGTCTAAGAAAAACTAGTTTTTCTTATGTATGTTTGTTATAATAGAACAGCAGAGAGTGCTGAGGCAAGGAAGACAGTGATGTCCTAAAATTCAGTATTGTTTATTGAGGACACATCCAGGTGCTTTGTCAACCAAATGGACAGAGGATCAGCTTGTAGTCTTTCTCTTAAAGTTACGAAATGAAACTAGGACATATGCTTGACTAGAGGGCCATGCACCTGCCCCATGTGGACAAATGAGTCTGAGGCCCCCAATTCAGCCCCACAGAATATGGTTGCCATCAGTTTAGCCTGGAAAATTTCTAAGAAGTCACTCGTTGAGACTGTAATTTCCCATTTGGGTGAATTTAATGGGATGCACCTTGGGATACAGTGGGGACCTGCATAGGAATGTATGATGATACTTCAAGGAAAAAAGGTAAATGTCAGCATGTAGGTAAGACAAAATAGAGAACAGTGGGGAAAACATTCTTATGTGTTCTGGATTATAAAGCAGCATGTTGCAAAATGGATCTGGATTGTCATACGTGATAAAAATAAACCAAAATCTTGCTTTATGCCATCATTACCCTACAATGACCTTAGTTTTTTTTTTTTTTTTTTTTAGTTTCTGATCAGTGAATTAAGTAGGTGGGTAAATGTGATGAATATATTCTAGGCATTGTTCTCTTAGGATTTTCAAATAAAGGCCTGTGTCCTTCCTAGACTTTCTCCTCTGGAACCACAGCTTTATCCTGCTTCCTCTGTGAATGTCTTCTCTGCCTCCTTTACTTACCTGAGCCTGAACTCTTATTGGAGGACTCCCTTTTCTCTACAAGAGGATGCTCCTTCTCCTAATACCCAAGTACCAGGGGTTGATTGAGAGAAGTATTCTCCAAGCTCCCCTTTGCAACTTCCAAACTAGGCCATTACTCCTATGGTATCATTTTTTAAGCCTCCATCCTTCGTCATTGATCTATGCCATCCTTCATCCTTTGTCTTCACTGTAATCTATCAATCTCACCCAAGACAGGCCCTTGAGTTACAACACTCTT